TAAGAAGACCAAGACTTATTTAAGTTGAATGTCAAATTTTTCATTTCAGCAGACCCTCAAGATGCCCAAGAACATCCGGTCACGCTTCCTGCATTGAATGATACTACTCTGCGTGAGTAAAGCTATTTTCTACCACTAATGAAGACAGTGGAAACAAGGAAAATTATGACACCCTTTTTTGACGACATTTAATAAATACTTATCCGGAGTGTGTAAAGTTTAAAGAATATCTTGACTGGAGAAAATTTATTCCTATTTATAGAAAGTGGTTGCTTCAAGTTTTCATTTTAACTCAATATCTTAATTTATTGCTCCGATTTAAAGCTCTTTTAATGTCTACAGAGCCACGAGAATATCGAGAAAATTTTATTTTTCTCCACAAACACCTAGTACTTCCTATTATTATTTTCAGTACTTAATTTGGCTAATGCGGTTCATTATTATTTCTAAATATTTCATAAATGTATTTACACTGGTATTCGAGTAATGATCAAACTTATATAAATGTGTGAAAATTGCATTGTCTTTGGCGACTACTGTAAATGCTGTCATGCTTAATGTGGACGGTGTAGGCAGCATGAAATTACCAACTAATTTTTTATTGCCATTCTGGACCAGAACAGTGTCCGCGAAATGGCGAACAGGTGAATTATGCGGATGCTGCGCTGAAGCTCTTGAGTCCGACCCAGTCATTGACAATTGTTAAGACATCCAATTCGGGTACCTGGAATGAATTTGAAATGACAATGAACACGAAAGAAGCAAAGCCGAAGTGTCGTTCTGCTCAAAGTGCAGCGCTTATCAAGGATGTCTGGTGTGTCATTCAGACTACGCGGGTCGATATACGTATTGAGCTCCTGTGAGTCAACCATGTGTGGTTCTTAATTACGGCACTCATGTTGCCTAATGGGCTTTTACCTTACAACTGTAGTTCACAATTGTAAAGAATGTTCGGAATTTTATATTTCAGAATGGCACGTGTGACTACGGATGGCGCAATATTCACTACGGTAGAGCATGTTTCGATGGCTATTCCGGGAGCGGTGCTCTACGTCAAGTTGGAGGAGAAGCTGTTGGACAATAGTGATCCTTTAGCACACATTCTGCAGCTTGCTGAACTTAGAATTCAAAATATCATTTCAATCATAGACGAAATTCAGCGTTCTATTCCCAGAGCAGGATTTAGCGGCTGGAATAAATGGGTGCTGGCGAACACTGAACGCATTCTAAAACAGGCAGTTCTTCAGCGCGGTTTAGAACAATGTCAATGGTAGAAGGAAGTGTTCGCTTTTCATCTGATTCATCATTATGGTGACACTTTATGCCATTTGAAACTGCCTTTCAACTTTGGGTTTTGTTTAGATATTTGTTTGGTTAACAGGTTAGTGTATGCATACTTTTGTCCTTTCAATCCATATTCTGGAAATAAACCTCTGGATTTGGAAATGATCATTCTTCTTGAAGGGACTCTTAACTGCGCGTGCATTCGGTTGAAAATTTTAAGAAAATTCGATTTAGTGTTAAAAACAAATGCGAAGGCTTAATAGAAATTTAAACAGCTGATGATCACAAATAGGTGTCATTAGGAATAGAAGTGAGGTGATTTACAAAAGAAATGTGACATGCTACACAGGAACGACCAGACAAAACGCACATAAATAAATGCTTAGAATTTGATTGATTTTTAGCAAAATCTTCAATTTTACTGGCAATTAATTCTGGTTTATAACTACAATCCAGTAGGGTCGGAGTGACTTGAGCAATATTACTATCTGTAATGCCAGAGAACTCCGTACACCTACCTAGCGTGAGAATATGTTTGACGCAATTCACATATTTACCTGATTCTAAGATACACCGGGTACGCACATTCGGACGAAGAACGTTTGCGTTCCAGGTATTTGGGTACATTATGAAAGGGTTTTCGAAAACCGGATCGTTTGGATTATTATCGTGAGCTTTCGGTTTCATGTGAGAGACCATCGTCAGAGAGAAACGCGTAACTTGATGCAAGCAACAGTCATGTTGCGCATGTCTGCGCATGTCTCAGACTGCTCTTCTATTACCTATGATTAAGGATTCCCGA